GGCCTCGCCCACCTCCAGCTCCGGCAGCTCCTCGCGGGGCACCGAGCGGCCTCGCTCGCTCAAGCGGGGCTCCAAGCCCTCGGCGTCCTCCGCGTCGCTGGAGAAGCGCATGAAGATGGCGTCCCAGAGCATCACCCAGCGCTTCCGGCTGTCCCGGGACAAGAAGGTGGCCAAGTCGCTGGCCGTCATCGTGAGCATCTTCGGGCTCTGCTGGGCCCCGTACACACTCTTGATGATCATCCGGGCCGCCTGCCACGGCCACTGCGTCCCTGACTACTGGTACGAGACGTCCTTCTGGCTGCTGTGGGCCAACTCGGCCGTCAACCCCGTCCTGTACCCGCTGTGCCACTACAGTTTCCGCCGAGCCTTCACCAAGCTGCTCTGCCCCCAGAAGCTCAAGATCCAGCCGCACAGCTCCCTGGAGCACTGCTGGAAGTGAGCCGGCCCTTGGCGGGCACCCGGGGTGCCGGAGGGTGGGGGGAAGGGGGCCTCCCACCGCCGCCCCCACCAGGCTCCGGTTTCCTGGGCAGCCGGCCACACCGCCCCCGACCTGGCCGCCCCCGGGCGTGAGCCACGCCTCGTCTCCAGCCCGCCCTAAATGCCACGGCAGAATCTCTCAGACCGTCCGCCTGCCGCGGGGGCAGCTCGCTGGGCCGGCCAGAGCGGCCCCTGCTGCCTGAACCGGAGCCTGGTCGCCCACCCCGCCGCTCAAACCCTAGCTTCACCCCGGGAGGAACAATCCCAGCCACGCCGCCCGCGCCCCACAGACGGTCCGGTGGCCGGTGGCGTCCACCCTTTTGCCCAAGTGCTGCTTGGTGTCCTTGCCAAAGCGAGTGATCGGCGTGCGCTCCGGGCCTCGTGAGCAGTCTGCCGCTGCACGTGCACACACCTGCGCACACCTGCACACGCCCCGCCCCCCTGCCCTCCCCACAAGCCAGGGCCATGGGCTCTGCTGCTGTCTGTCCCCTGCTTGAGCCCAGGCCCCGGCCCCCTCCAAGTCCCTACGCCCCCAAAGTGCCAAGTGCCCCCCAGGAACCCGCGGCCGTCCTCTGCCCTTCCGTTCTGGGTGTTTCAGGAAGACGAAGAAGAAAACACGTCCGTGAACTCCATGTTCCTTGGCTGTTTAATCAAGAGAGACAAAATTGCTGAGGAGCTCAGGGCTGGATTGGCAGGTGTGGGCTCCCACGCCCTCCTTCCTCGCGCTGCTGCTTCCGGCTGAGCTGCGCCAGCTGCTTCTGCCCACCCCGCCCCCGGGCTCGGGGTGCTGGGCCCTGCCTGGCGGCTCCGAGCACGGCCGGGGCCCCGGACGCGCCTGCTCGTTGGGAAGGCCGCCTCTCTTGCTTCATCCGCTCCGGCCGAGGGGTGGGAGGGGGCCCCCGGGGCTCGCAGGGGCAGCCCCAGGACACCGGGGCCGTCGGCCACGTCCCGTGCACCCCGTCGGCGCTGTGCATGCCCCGCTCCCCGCCTGCCCGCTGCCCTGCAGACTTCGAGGTCCACAGTAAAGTGTATTTTTTTATTGGTGCTGATTCCTGAGGCCTTCCTGGGGGCGGGCTGAGCTCCCCGTACTTTGGTCGGGACCCCAGGGAGACGCAAGGCCACGCGGCAGGGGATGAGGGGCAGGGGGGAGATAAGGCTGGTCTGGCCCGTCCTACGGGTCCGATCCCGATCAGAGACACCGTGCCCCCAGCCACGCACCCCTGTTCAGGAAGGCGGCATGGAGCGAGGAGGGCCTCGCTCCAGCCTCAAGAATATGACCCACGGCCCCGCCCCCTGTGCCACCTGCCCACCACCCAGGACCGGAGTTCTCCTGTGTCACAGGATCTTCCACCTGGGGAGCTGCCAGGGGACCGGCTGAACTCCAGGGGTGGAGGGGAAGGGATGGCCCTGAGGAGGGGAGCCACCTTGGATAGAAGAGGGGCTCCCGGGCAGAGGCGTGGAGGCGGGACTGAGGGTGGCACGTGGGGACGGGGAGAAGAAGAGGGTGGTGCTGGGTGAGCCTGGGTCCAATGAACAATCAGTCCCTGCGTGCTCCACGGAGGGGGCAGACCTTGTTCCCGCCCCAGGGGCTCAGAGTCCCCTGGGAAAGGGGGCGAGGCCAGCACAGCTTAGGGGAGATACAAACTTGGGCGGGCGGTCGGAAGCCACCTCCTCCAGGAAGCCCGCCTTCCTTTCCAGCCACTAGAGCGCTCCCTCCCCCGACCTCATGCTCTCTCCCCACCACGTGGGTTCTACTTGCACAGCACTTCTGACCCCTTCCTTCCTTCCCCACTGCAGGCACGGCCTGTCTCTTACGGCCACGTGCCACCGGGCCCTCGGCACCGGTCAGCAAGCTCTGATTCTCTCCACTGCAGAGCGAGGTTTTTCATAGCAACATTTCAAAGCCTTCCTCCCCCAGACACCTCTCACCCCGCAGCTATACCTGCACCTTCATTTCCCAAATGCCCCAGAAAACTTTCCCAGAGCCCTAAGCTGGCGCCCCTTTCCTCCACACTCTCGAGAGACCCCCCTCCGGCCCAGGCAGGATGCTCTTCTTTCACCCCCTCCTTGGTGCCAGAGGGAGGGCCGAGCCTGGGGGCTGGGCGCTGTCTTGAGCAGAGGTCGGGGCGGGGGGGTGGGGGGTAGGGGGGGCTGCAGGGGGAGTGGTGGCAGAGGCGGTAGGCGCCACCCTCTGCGGGGCCCGGAGCTCAGGGAAGCCCTCGTGCTCTGGGGGCCCCGTGCACTGCCAGCCAAGTGGCCTCCCTGCTGGCCCCGCAGGACCTGCCTGCCAACCCCCCACGGCGGGGGTCTGTCCCTGCAGCCCAGAGCTGTCCGGGGAAAGACAAAGCACCTGTCCTCTGCAGCGGTGGGCGCCTCCGTGCCAGCAGCACAGCCAGAGCCCTCACTGCCCCTCCGCCCAGCCCTGCTAAATGGCTACAAATTGGAGGATAAAAGCGCAGGCTTTCAAGCAATTTTGTCTTCAATCTCTGGAAACTGCTGCTCCCCGAGCTCCTGCGTGAGGCTGGAGGAGGAGAGAAGAAAGACACCGACTTTATTGGGCCTGAGTCCTGCAGCAAACAAACACGCCAAGGGGGCCTTTCTCCTTGGAAGCAGGCGCACCGGGAGGGGACACAAAGCCGGCGGGCCCGGGGCGGGAGAGGCAGCCTCTGCAGGGGCTCGCCCACACCAGCAGCTGTTGTTTATTGAGTACCTACTGTGTGCCAGGCACCGTAAGGGGTGCTGGTCGGCTGGGAGGTGGACAACCAACTAATGGCCATTTCCACGGGGACTGAGGACTGCAGGGGACATCAACAGGGCAGGGGCTGGAGAGGAGGGGCCGCCAGCTCACTAGCCAGGGGCTGGGAGCCTGTGTGAAGGGTGGCGGTTCCCGCGCTCACAACATTGACTGACCCCGGTGGCGGGGCGCTCCAAGACGCCGCAGGGACCAAGCCTGGGGCCCGAAAGAAGGGCGTGCAGGCAAAGGGGTGCCCCTGGGAACAGGCTCCAGGCACCGTCCCTCCCAGGCTGGTGTGGACCCTATGTTTTCAGGGTGCCATGCGGGCACCCCCCACCTTTCTACAAAAGGGAAAGTTACCCGGTGTTTCCTCTGGGGAGCCGGGGCCACGGCAGGGATGGCTGGGGCCCCTCCGGCTCTGGAGCCCTGCCGTTTGGGGGAGCCACGTGGCCGTCTGTCCTCCGCCCCCACCCATCCTCACACCCACGGCTGGGCTTGTGGGTGCAAAGAACCTTTTCCAGCAACACTTGCTGGAGCCCCTCTGTCCTCACAGCCAGCCCACGAGGGGTGCTCACATTCTCCACTCTGCAGATGTGGGAGCCAGGGCTCTGGGTTCCGGGAGACTCACCCCACATCACAAACCCAGTACACATCGGGGGCCAGGACTCCACACTCCCATTCCACTGGGGTCTCCCCTGTGCTCCCCTGAGCACCAGGGGCCTCCGTGTTGTCCAGGAGGGGGCTCTGGGGAGCCTTGGAACCAGAGCTCAGCGCTGTTGATCTTAACACAAGCACGTGTTGGTTATCGGCTGTTTGTGCTCTGTTGTGTTGTGCACAAGGAGCCGGGAAAAGTCACCCCTCCTGAGCCAGCAAGTAGAGGAGAGAAGGGGGAAGAGGCAAGGTGGGCTATGGAGTGGGAAGCCCCAATATCCAATGCCCAGGTCAGGCAGGGAGTGTGTTTGGAGAGGAAACTGAGGCCTGGAAGAGCGGACTGCCCCACCTGCCCAGCAGGTCTGTGGGGAGGCTGCGACTGAAGCCAGGTATCCTAGGGGAACATCTAGCCCTTTCTCCTTCCTGTCCCAGTAAGTCTCAGGGGCCAGGCAGGGGCTCCTGGGCCTCAGTTTCTTCCTCCACAGAATGCGGTCCTGGCTCGGCAGGGTGATGCGGGGGCAGGGATCCCTGAGGCTCTCTCCTGGGCCCCCAGGGGCCGGGGGCGCTGGCTCGGCCCGCCCATCATTACAGAAATGGCCCCGTCGTCCACGCTGTCTGCCCTGTACCCAGCGGGTAGCTTTGTGCTGACCTGTGCCTCCCGCCTGGCAGCAGGCAGGCTGGCTGGCGGGGCTCCAGGAGTCCCCTCTGCACTGGCACCTGGAGGGCTCACCTCTGCCCTGCTTTCCTTCCTTTCTGTGGAAATGAGCATGGGATCTGGGCGTGGCTGGACGGGCAGGTGGTCTGGGCTGTGCCACCTTCCAGCCTCGGCCCCTGCAGATCTCACAGCGTCCTCACAGGGGCTGCAGGTGGCAAAGGACCCCTTGTGCCTGATACTTGGGGGACCGGGCCCGGCCCTCCAGTCCTCAGGGCACATCCGGTGACGGTGACCCACACTGGCGGGGGCCATCCGGGAGCTGGGGATCCTACAGGAGGGGTCGGGGTCAGGGCTCAGGGTCAAGCCCCACAGGAAGAAGGCAGGGACTCGGGTCCAGCAGGTCAGGACCGGGGAAGGGGCGAGGAAGCATGGCCGTGGAACCTGGCACAGGGAATGTTCTCCGGGCAGGAACAACTCCCGGTGTCTAACACTCACTGAGCCCCAGGCCCCATCGTGAACCCGCTTCCCATCTACACTCATCTGGTCGTCAGACAGATGAGGTGCTGCTGTTCCGTTTGACAGGTGAGGACACTGAGGCACAGAGGTTGAATAATGACCTGCTCAAGGTCCCACAGCCAATGAGTGGCTGAATTGGTGCTGGTTCCTCCTGTGACCGCTTTCCCAGCACCCCAGCCCCCAGGGGCCACCTTCTCCGGCTGGTCCCGAGCCCGACACCCCGGGCACCTGGAGCCCCTCGGAAATGCACACAGGCGTCTGGCCCCCTGCCCCTTCTTTGGGGAACCACTCCCCCTTCACTCCAGCGGGTCCGGGGGGCCGGCCCCACCCACAGGCTTCAGGACCGGTGCAGGTCCCAGGCGTGGCTGGTCAGAATCCCCGTGACAGGTTGGGGTAGCGCACACCCCGGGCCCAGCCGGAGAGCAGGAGTGCTGGGACCTTGGCTGGGACTCTGGGAAGCCCGCGTCGCCCTGCAGCTGGTGGCCCCCAGCGCCGCCCTCACCGAGGCTGCCCCCTGGCGGGAGCACAGCTCTGCGGCCAAGGCAGAGGAAGGCCGGTCAAACCCTGGGAAGAGGCAGCTTCCTGGTGCCATTGTCCGAGCGCCTGGATCCAGCCCTGCCTAAAGCTAGCGTCTGGATCTTTCTGTTTCATGAGTCACCAAATACCCTTTTCTTCCTACGGCTGACACAAGATGGGGTTTTGCAGTGTGAGGTGCTGAAAATGTCCTATCCAGCAATACTTGGCCTGGGCTGGCATCCCTCTGTCTCGGGGGGCAACAGAGCCTTCCTGCCCACGGGAGGTCTGTGTCTTTGATTAAGAAAAAATGGGTAAGTGAATCAGCTATTTAGTAAAATAATAATTAGCTGTTTGTAATGGTCATGGGTAGGAAAGCAATCTTTTCTTTTTTTTTTTTTTTT